GTTGGTATTTCCTTTTTTCCTGAATTTGCAAGGGAATTGAAATATGCCAGCATAAAATAGCAGCGCCTTCCAACACTCAAATCATACACTAAATCTGTTGAAAACTCATTTGCATATGTGGATAAAAGTAAAGCGTGATTGTATCCAAGTAGTTTCCAGTGTTCTTCCATCTCTGCGAAATAAATTCGCGATTTTTTTAAAATATTGCGCCAAAAATTGGCTTACATTAATAGCCTATTACCATTAACAAAAATTTTCTCCTTACAAATAAAGGATTAGATTATTATAAAAAGAGATTGCTCTTTATTAGCTCCATTGTAAGTTTTTCAATTAGTTCTGATTTGCTTAAAAGTGTTTTACGTGTTTGGTCGAACCAACTTCAAATATGTCACCTTATTTCCTATGATGTTCCATTTAACCTTGCTTTTGGTAGAGACCTCCGATGAGAAGTAAAAACAGAATACATGTAAAAAGAGTGAGCATTACGAGAAGTTTTTAATAATCTCGAGGCTTCAAAATCTTATTAATTTTTGAATAGCATAGTTAATTGAGCTTTACGATTTTTTATTAATACATGTAAATGGTTTTCTAACGTCCAACGCCATGATAATGAAATAAGAGAATAAAGTGACAGGTAGCTACTTATACATACGATCGAATACACCATTAACTATTCGATCCTAGGCTTCAAATAAACTTTCGTATCAACACAGTGGGAAAATCATGGTAAGTTTGTAGCATTAACCAATTTAACCTCGTAATTACGATACAACAGAATCAGTAGCATCTTTACAATAGCGAGTCCGATATTTCTCGCAGGGCAAATGTGTAGTCCACCACCCCATGGATAAAACGCTTTTTTGAAGATATTTTTTCCGTCACTACCATCATTGATAAACCTCTCTGGTATAAATTTTTCGGGGTCGGTAAAGTATTTTTCGTTTCGATGAGGTGCTTAGTAATTCACCACGAATTGTGTGTCGGGTTTCCATCGATATCCGGCTGTTTCATCTTCGCGTTAATTTGTACGGGCACTGCTGTGTTGATACGAGTCGTTGATGAAATTTTGTTAGTTTAAAGTGTTATAAAATAAAATTGAAGTGGCTTACTTTCATATTATACAGCCTCGATATATTTGAATTCATTCAAATCATCGTGACAACACGATTCAAATTATCTGAAAAAAACGAATTAATCTCAGTTCTAATATTTGCTTCCACTTCTGGATATCTACCGACATATTCAACAATAAATATGAAGGCAACACAGTCTGATTTTATTAAAGAATAATTAGACTCGAATAAACTCATCTGTATTGCATCATCAGTCAAAAGGTTTATCTAAATTATTATGTATTTGCTGCGATTAACAAATTCATTATATAGATGAAAATCAGTAAGCATTTCCAAGTGAGTTCATTATTTCATCAATTCTTGGTAATGAATATATATCTTTATGGATAACTGTATTTAGTTTTCAGTAATCAACATAAAATTTTTTCTTTTCATTCTTTTTGGAAACTACAATGATAGGTGAAGCCCAAGGACTAGTTGATAGTCAAATAATATTTGTTTCTAACATTCTTTAAATTTCTTCTGATATGAATATCTGATCTGAAAGGGTAATTTTATAAGAGCATTATTTGATAGGTGATTCATTTTCAGTATATATTTCATGTTGAATTAGGTTACTTTGGTCAAGTTCATATAATTCAGTTGCAAAGATATTAGCATTATCTTCTAGTAATTGAGTAAGGAGTCATTCTTGTTCAGCAGTTAACTTTCATTTTTAATAACTTTTTCTTCTTGTTCTTGGTTTAGGAAATAGATATAAGCTTCTTGATAATTAGTGAATTCAAATCCAGTTATTTCTTGACTAGATTGTCCTAATTCTTCTCTAGTAGAAACTGGTTTAAGTTATTTAATAAGAGCAAGTTGTAGAAATATGAGTTGAGTAATTTTCTGATCTGGCTTAATAATGTAATCTTCTTTTGAGTTATTTTAAATGATAATACTAATATTTTCAGTATATCCAGAATTAATAGTTCCACCTTTAATATTAATTTCTTGTTTGGTAAGAGATAAGCAAGACATTACTTGACATATAACTCTTACAGAAATTTCTATAGTAATATAGATATTTACTAATATAATTTGATGTGATAGAATTCTAATTACTTCTTTTCCAGTATAATAAATATCATATTTAGCATTAGTAGAATATGCTTTTTTTGATAATTTTCCTTTATCTTAATCATTATAAATTTTGACTGTATAGTATCTATCATTTTGTTTCATAGAGATATCCTTTAAATAATTATTAAATTATTAAGATAATTTATTAAGAGTCTGATAAATAATATTGAATTTTTCATGTATCTCATTTAATTTAAGCTAAGAAAGATGAGTTAAAATAAGAATAAAGCTGATTTTTTCAACTAATTCATTAGTAACTGCTTCTTCTAGAATTGATTTCAAAGTTATAGGATGTTTTTCTTTATCCACTTTAATTAGGAATTCAGATTATATATAATTATTATATTTATCATTATTATAAGAGATCAAGTATTCTTAATAGAGTTTCACATTAATATAATTCAAGTAAGCAAGTTATTATCTTTAATTAGAACTGAGTTATTGATAAATGTATTGAAATATTTCAATAGCAGAAGCTTCTATAGAACTCTTACAAATAATTTCTTGAATATAGTCATCTTTATATATAAAGCAAGATAGAATTGATTTACTAATTTCATCATATTTATCATATACTTCTAATAGTATTTCTTATTCTCTAAGCTTGTTAATTATTTTGATATTCTTTTTTTATTTTCCATAATTAAATTAATAAATATATTGATATTTATAAATACAGAAGTATTTCTTTTCATAACTTTCAGTAATAAATATTTCTCTTGATTTATTACATTTATCATATTAAAAGCAAGCAGAAAGATTTAGTTATTTCTCTCTGATATAGTTATCACAAGTGATAACTTTTTCTTTATTAATTTTAAAATATATTTTAGTATAATATTTATCTATATATTTTTCACATTTTCAGCATTTTTCAATCTGAGAGTTGGGATAAATTTGTTATGAGACAGATTAATATGAATCAAAACTTTATTTTATTCTTTTATTAATGAAGAGTTCTTGTTTAACTTCATTAACCTAGTCTTTATTTATCTTAAATTCAGTATGAAAAAGTTTATAAATTTTGATTATTATCCAGTTAATAAGATTATTATAGTATCAGTAATATTAATAATTAGGCATAAAAAGATTTCTATAGTATTAATATTAGCTATTTAATTCTTGTCAATTAAATAACTATCAGTTACTTTAATTATATTTTTGAGTAAACTTCTTATCAAGTCATTTTAAAATCTTCTCAAGTATATTTCTTCTATCTGATTTTAATTTCTTCTTGATAGACTTGTACTTCATAAATTCTTTTAATATTTTAAATAATCTGAAATAGTATTTCTTCAAAATCAGTATCTCTTAAACTTCAGTTTCAAATTTTAACAGGGATTTAAGTTTTCTTAGTGATAATTTTAATATTATCATTATCTTGAAATTCTTGTTATCTAGAGATCATAGTATTCCAATTATCATGTTATCACATGAGAAAAATCTTCTTTTCTAGATATTGTTTTTTAAATTTACTTTCAGAATCTTCTTCTGATTCATCTTTTTCAGAACTTATATTTTTAAAAATTGATTCTTCTCTATTATCATAGATAAATTTAATTGTTACTTTTTCTTTCTGATCATTATACTCAAAAATTAATAATTCTTTTTTAATATCAATATTAGCTTTTATTTTATTCAAAAAGTCTATTTTAATAATTATTAAGTATATTTTGACTTCAGTAATATCTATTTTAGTAGAAATTACAATTTTATTAATATTTAAAAGTAGATTATCAATAATTCCAAAAGATTATTTAGATATTCTATTTATATTTGATATAAAAATATTTAAATTGCATTATATTTTCAATTCCATATATTTAATAAAGTTATATATAGTAACATACAGTGCTTATCAGAAGTAACCTACCCCCTATAACTTTCTATAGATCATATGTAATGTACCAAAATTTTCCAAACATAAAGAACTACACAAACACTGATCATTTACATCTTTTATAGGCCAAATCAGGTATTCGATATTTACCAAACTTCTACACACAAATAATATCACTTCTAATTCATAAATATTATAAAATTATTTTTTTACATACATATCCCAAAGGTCTAAAGCTTGGACTTGAAGCTATAGCTAAATATGTTCACTATAGTAAGCCCATGGTGATTTATTAGGTACAAAGATAGCAGAAAATAAAGGACCTAAATGATCAATCAAAATCCAGCAGAAATTAATTGACAATTCTGAAACAAGATGAAAAGATTATAGAGCTTGCACAGAAGTAAACTAATGTAACTGCTGCTGATATACAATGGAAAATGAAAAAATGAAATGTTAATATTAGTTTGAATATAATTTAACAATATTTACATGAAGGTGAAGGCAAATATATAGTGAAACTTTCTAAATCTCTACTTACCGATATCCATAAAGAAAAATAGTTGGAATGGGTAAAAAATTATAGAAATTTTGACTGGAGTAAAGTCATATTTTCAGATGAAAGCACATTTTGTCTAAATTAGTTATCATTTAAGGTCTGGCAGTTTCCTGGATGAAGAAAAATATTCCGGTCTGTGAAGCATCCATTAAAAATCAATGTATGAGATTGTTTTTTTACTTCGGACTTTGGTAAGTTAGTCTACTTTTAGCGGAATCTCAATGCTAATTTTATGGTTATGATATACAAGTGTGGTCTTCTACCATCTGTTAAGTATCTTTTTGGGGATGATTCTGAAGGGTGGATCTTGCAAGAGGATAATGATCTAAAATACTGTTCAAAATTGGTGAGTCGTTGGAAGAAGAAAAACAATATTGAAGTTCTTTCATGGTCATCAATGTTACTTGACCAAAATCCAATTGAGAATATTTGGAGGTTGATGAAAATTAATATTACAAAAAAAAAAATTAGAACACTTACTGGATTAAAAGTATAATTAGTAAAAGAATGGAATCACTTACCTGATAATCTTGCCGTGAATCTTATCCATAGCATGAGAAGTCGGATTAAGGAGTTAATTGAAGCTAAGGAGAATTATATAATATATTAATGATCAGGATATATTGTAAATATTCTAATAAAAAAAAAAGATTTTATCTTACCTTTTAGTCAAGTTATGAGGGATAGATTACTTCTGACAAGTACTGTATCTAGAGATATCAGTATTAATAATTAAATCAATAATATTCTTTTCAAATTTGGCTTCATACTAGATAGATGTGATTTTGAACTTTTGTTTAAGCAATATTTTTCTTTTTTTTTGACTTAAGTATTATGATATGATGCATTCCTTTTGATAGTTAAGTTCTTTGTGAAAGAAAGATCTAAATAAGTTAAGTAATAGTTATATTTGCTTTTTGTTGAGCTAAATCTTCTAGAATATTATAAGATTCAGCTATAGTAATGAGTATAGATAAAGTAATTTTGCTCTTCTTTTTGCAAATAGTCTTTTTAGCAAGTTCTCCTTTAAGAGTTTTAAATAATTCAGCATTATTTATATTCTGATGAAGAATAACTTTAGAAGTATTTTTTTCTTTCTTATTATTATTTGATTCCTCATTTTTATTAACTATTTCTTTACAGAATTAACTTACAGATCTAGTTCTATAAGAAATAGTTCTGAAATTTCTGGATTTTCTTTTAACAGTCAAGTATTCATATATATTAAGCAATAAATTTATATTATCTAATTTGGCAGTTAATATTTAAATATTATCAGTGAGAACTTGTATTTAAGCTAATAATATATTCTAATTATTATTTATATTTTGATTATTATTAGTATTTACCTAATTTGGTG